ACCAGTCCCGTCGATTGCGTGTTCCAAATCCATCTTGACTCGTGCTTCGTCGGGCCAAATTCAGCTTCGCATTCGTTTGGAGGTCCGCCAACAAGGTCGCTCGAGTGGAGCTTGTGTCAGACTCAATGCGCGATGCTAGGAGAGCAAGGAGAGCAAGCCGCGCTGATGTATGCTAAAGATTCGGATTGAAGCGTTGTTGTTGGTGGTGATATGCTGCTGGTGCGTTGCTCTTTGCGAAGCTCGTGCTGCCCATCGATGAAAAATCCAAGTCGTGAATGGCGCTCAGTTGTACAGTACATCCGGTACGAAGGCTGGCCTATATGGTGGGTTAGGGTTAGAGCGCGCCGTGCAGCAGCGTCGCGCGGGTGGCTGGGAGACGGGCGCGCATGCCCTCTGGCCAATCCACGTGGTTGGCATGCCCTTCTTGTTGAATTTGAAGGCTCTGCTTTTGTGACGTGATCAAGTGACAAATTCAAACGCAATTTCAACTCTCCAGGGAACTCCGAACACATTTGATTCTGATTCGATTTGAATGCAGACACTTCATGTTCAAGCATTCGAAAGCGCGCGCGTTCATCACGTAGTCAAGAGTCTTGAGTTGATCTGAGTTGAAGTTTGGATGAGTCAAGCTGGGTCAAAGTCGCAGTTCATCACATCCTGCGTCCTATATCCTATATCCCTCCCAGCACAATTCGTTGCCCGCTCACATCCACTCCAGACGCTCAAATCAACGTCTCGCATCCTTGCACTGGCAGCAGCATCTCAGCAACGCAAAGTTTGCCAAGTTCGGCGCGCACTCGATAGACCGACCTCACGGTCGGCTGCTGTCCAGCATACGCTATCTCGCATCCTCACCGCGAGCCTCGCACCTTCCGCATCGAAGACCGTCGTTCGCCGATCGCGCACCGCACCGCACCCGCAAAACGATCGCGTGAGTCGCACCGGAGGCAAGTCATGTTTCCTACACTTCGACTATTTTCGCGCACCACCTATCAGGGTTCGCGAGGTAGCGGACCGGGTCGGAGCGGCAAGACCACCTTTCGATCCTCTCCCTCCTCGCGCGCCACAGAGGTGGAAGCTCAGCAAGCCGGTCGTATCCTCAAACGATCTCAACGAGGCCTGTACCACGGATCTCTGATCCAATCTGGCAACAATGTTCCCAATTCGCGTCAAAAGACGCGCAGAACCTGGTTGCCCAACGTTCAGAGCAGGAACAACTTGTGGAGCGAAGTGTTGCAGAGGCACATCTCCACTCGCATCTCTACCAGGGCTATGAGGACGATTGAAAAGTATGGAGGATTGGATGCGTATGTTGCCAACACCAAGGATGCGTTGTTGGGTGATTTTGGCAGGAGGTTGAGGGAGGAAATGGGAGCTAGAGTGATGGCCATCTGGACCTCTCAAGGCAATGCAGGTATACCATCCGGCAAAATCAACTTCAAGAGCGCTTCCAGGAGTCGGAAAGATGCGGCAAGGACAACGAAGGAGCTCAAGACGGTGCATGGCAAGTTGGGATTCATGGAACAGAGAGCTCTGGCAAGGTCTTCTTCCCCTTTAGTCAATGCGCAATCGCTGGCCGAGAGAGCTAGGTTGTTGGGTTTGGCAAGAATGCCTCCTAAAGCTGCCCAAGGTCAGACGAGGCTCGCTGCTGAACAGGACATTGCGAGCGAGGCGAGGGTGGACAATGCTAGAGCCGACGCAGCAAAGGAGCTCTGAGGACGGCGTCGGCGTCGGCGTCGGCGTCGGCACCGTCAATTGTTGAGATCAGGGGACATGGCGGCGCATCGACGAGGTGCCCCTTCTTCTTTGCTCGTGCGATGGACGCTTGCTTCTCTGCGATACGTGACCGAATGTGCGGCGGTATGCTGGGCGGAACGGTTGCACTGGACTCTGCCAGCTCTCGATCCCTGGACAGCGGCGCCGTGCGTGCCTCAACAACTTGCCTAGCCCTTGTATCAACAAACCTCACGCAATGCACGGCGCTCTCACAAAGTGCTCAAAACTGGGTATGCTGACCGAGATGGAGTCGGAGTCGACGTCAGATTCGCATGCGTTTGGATTAGAGGATGAAATTTTGCTCGGCAGTGTCAATGTAAATGTGCTAGCAAGCGTGGGCAAAGTGGGTGACAAGAGACCAAAAGCTACAACTGCGCCGAGGCGCCACGATTAAAAGATGTGCGGCACGTCAGGAGGCGAGAAGACGAAGTGGTGTGGATGAAGAGGTATAACATGGCGAGCTTGGCGTCTGCGCGGCCTAGACTGAAGCCTCACCGCAGAGCATCCTGATACTCTTGGGGTTGCTGTTGTGCTTCGTGATGGTGAGAAGGGAGATGCATATGGTGATCGTGATCTTCAAAAGAAGGCCACGGCGCATTGCCTAGCGCGAGCTCGAGAGGAGTAGCAACATGATGCAGGTGTTGTTGGTGCTGATGGCGATGGCGGTAATGGTCGTTTCTGACAGAGACGAGTTCGGACTCCTCATCCGCGGATTGCGCCGAATGCAAAGTCTGGGACGATCGAATCAGATTGCTGAGGGCGCCCAAAGATTGCTGCGAACGCGCAGGAGAGCTGTCCGTCTCCATGCTCAGCGACTCGCCGCCCGCGCTGGCTCGAGGAGCCATGAGCATCTCTACAAATGCCGCATCTGCACCCAACACTTG